CCTGTAACTAGTTGGATTCATCAAGTGTAACATTAATAGTCTGGGGTATAGTTTAATTTCTGTTAAATGTTGTCCTGGGTTTTAGTGTCCCTCCCTGTCCTCACCATCCCAAATAAGTGTGATTGAGAAATAAAAGGCACCTTCCCAGGGTGGCTGTCAGCTGATTTTTGTCTTGAATCTCTCTCTGCTGGCCTCACGAGACAGCATTTTCAACTTTGGGCTTTAGAATCAATTTATGTGCATTTTCAGTATGTTCAGAAGTGCAGTGCTTGATTCCATATTGCTGTTTAGGATGCAAATATCTCCATCTTATTTCCTCACTGTCTAACAAAACCTGATATATTGGTGAAAGCGATATAATTAACATGAGTGATAGGAGGAAAAAAAAAAAAGACTTTTTTTTCTTCTTTTTTTGTGTGTACTGGTTTCCTTCATCAAAGGGTTCTGGTTTTGCATTAAATCATTCTGCGCTGGTGCAGAGGCATGTCGTCATCACTGTTGTTTTAGATGTCTAAGCAGAACTGGGAGTAAAGCCCACCTGTTTGCATTTCTAGGTTACAGTGCAGTTTTATACATATTCTGTCTTTATGGTTTGTGCAGTTTGGCAGTGCTGATAGGTTTAAGCTTAAAACACTGCATTGAAGTCACTCAAAATAACAGCTCTTCAGGGAACAAAATACCACAGCTTGCCTACTTAATGCAAGAATGATGTCAAACATGTCACTTTAAGACTATGCAAAAAACTGTACTTTTGTCCCTTTCAAGATTGATGTATTGATGATTCACAAGCATTGTTAATTAAGAAGAATTTGTCATATTATGACTTACACTGTGATAAATGTTGCCTACTAATAGATGGATACTGATTCTTTAATTTTAAGGTAGTTACAATACTGTATTTCTTAAGAAACATTTTTTTCATGTGATAGATGCTGCTGTAATATTTAAAGTCCAGTACTTTAAAAAGTGGACACTTTAAAATTTTGCATTTTAAAATTATTTTGACTTCTGAATTCTAAACATGTATCACTCAGTAATAAATGGTATCAGTGTTACTTCTTACGTAACCCAGTTGCTTTAATCCTTATTGAATTATATGTGAAGGAAACAAAAAATAAACTGCTACTGACAAAGAAACAAAAATGTATTAAAAAAACCCAACTCTTCTTTCTAATCAACTTCAATATTAGCACGTATTAAGAGCTGTGCTTTCTTTTCTTTCAGAAGACACAACTCCACCCTGTGTCTTTTCTCTAGTGATCACTGAATGCTCATATACCTTTTTTTTTTTTTGGTTCACTGTATGGTCCTAATTGTTCCTTTTGTATGTTTGGTTTTTTTTTTAATTTAACAGTTGTTCCTGTCATTTTGAGAGCACTGACATATGACGAGAAGAGGGGGGCGTGCAGCGTGGGTTCCAACGTGAGAGATGCAGCGTGCTATGTGTGCTGGGCCTTTGCTCGTGCTTATGAGCCTGCAGAACTGATACCATTTATTAATCAGATTTCAAGGTGAGTTGTGGCAATAAGAAACTGACCTATTTACAGTTAATTTTAAAAATCTATTCCAAATTAGGAAGTAGCTGAAAGTTAATCTAATAGTCTAATTCTTTATCTTCTAGAAGTTAAAAATCTGAGTGTCTAACACTCTGTCTTTAAGACACTTAAAAGTTAGATACTGACCAAAAGTGATACATCCATTTAGGGGAAATACCTTCATGCTCAAACAGTAGCTGGTGTGTGCCATGTAACATGAATGAAATTCATTGATCTCTGGATATTGTTCACCAAGGAATGGATATTTTTGTTTCTCTATGATAATTCTTAATGAATTTCATTGATTCATGCAAACAGGCTGAATATCTTGAAGATAAAGAATTGAATATGGGTGAGATGACATTGACTTAATACCGTTGCTCTTCCATGTAATTGTTAAAGTCTGAAATTTCTTCCTTTTGGGGAATGATGCAGTTTAACTTTTTGAATTGAAATGCATCTCAATATTTCCTTATCAAGTGTGATGAACTTAATTTCCTTCTGTTTATCTGTCATAAGATAACGAAAGAAAAATCCAAAGAAATTCACTGTAAGAAGATTCAGAGAAATTAGTGGAGGCTTTGGGGGTGTGTGTGGGTATCATCTGTTGTCTGCTTGATCACCGGCTTTACGGTTAGCTCAGCAAAACAGATTCAGGAAGTTTAAAGAGATCTGGAATCTTAGTGCAGTAGATGTAGAAGTAACAAACCACTCTAAAATTGGGGAGTTGCTTTATGGAGCTGAAAATATTAGAAGAAGAGAGAACTTACAGAAGAAGTTACTCCTTACCTTTTCAGGTGAACACTTGTTTCTAATGATCCAGGAGTTTTGGTACTTTGTCAGATGGGTATTGTGCAAAGACTATAGCATGTCTTTATTGACCAGCTTACAAGTTGCAAGTTGAGCAGGTTAGGTCTAAAAGAATAAACTACACTTCAGCTCCTCTCTAGCTAGCTATCTCAGAGTCTTCTGGTTCTTCTGTACAATTTATAATTTTTGTTTTGAAATGTTCCAATTCAAAGATTATTTTGACTAAATAATAAAATCACTTTCTGTTTCTGAAAGTGGTAAGAACTTGAGCTCTACACGGTGATTCTGAATTCTTAGTATCACATCACTTTTGAATAATGGAGTTTTTATTATAACTAATAAGGCATTTTAGTTAAAGGTAACAAATACATGAGAGATTTTTTTTTTCTCTTTTGATACTCTATAAAAACAGAAGGTACCCCAGTCCAGAATGACCACGGTACTAAACTTTGCTTGCAGTGGAATGGAAACCACATGCATGTACTTCTTTTTCAATCTGTGGTTTCTGTTTCAAAAGATTTTCAAAATAAAAATTATCAAAAGATTTCCAAATCAAAATCTGTGATACTGCAATGGTAGACTAGAACTTGGTGCAGCTTTTCACTTAATACTGATGATATTTTTGAAGGTACAAATGCGTTTTACCTTTTCCTTTTTTCTTTCATCTCGTGCTTTTCTTCCTGTGTGCTTGCGGGATTCCCTGTTGAGCATTTAGTCTTTTTGTTGGCAGCACACTGGCTGACATTTCAAGGTGTCTTTAATGTGTGATTTGCACTGCAAACACAAAGAGGTAGCTTTGAACAGTTTCTTGGCAGACTTTTAGTACAACCATTGATAGCAGTAACTCAGGCATCTTTGTCTCCATCAGAGGGGTTTTGATCAGTAGTTATTTAGTATTATCTTTTTAAAAAGAGGAAAAAAACCCGTTTGGACTGCACAGTGATTTGTGGTTCTGGATATCTGGTTCAATTTCGAGGGCCTGCCTTGCTTCCAGATTGCTGACTATTTCAGTCTCATGCAAAAAGCCTTCTTTGGAAACACAGGATTACTTACTTCGGTCACCAAGTTCCCAAAGAATATGTGACTTTTTCTTTCTTCTTTAAAACCTGTTTTTAAAGTTCTTTGGGACAGTCTGTAAGCCCTACATACCCATTTTTATTCCTTGATCCTGGTGCACTGTGCCCTCGCTGGTCTCTGCTGTTCTTCGTCCTTGTATCCTCACTTCCCAGTGCTCGTGCAGGGTCACATAACAGTGTCTCTTACCTGTGTGATACTTGCTCCTGGGGTTTTTTGAGACCTCGATAAAATCTTTCTGTCTAAGAACATGCTGTCAAATTTCTTAAGGCCAAACGCTGTTTTTCTTTCTACTTTTTTTAAGCTGTCGTGTCTTTTCTCCAAGGTGAGCAGACAAATTCTAAGATGTCTTAGCCTTATGTCTCTGATAAAGAAGTTTCATGTTGTTTTGATCATGTTTCATCTGCAACAGTGTAGATACTAAAGGCAAGGAGTCTTCTAACACCAAGCTGTGCTAGAACATGATGCCATGCACTGTTTCTGGATGACTTTCAGAAAGAAAATGTAGTGCTTCAGAAAAGACCTACTTCATTTAAGCATGCTAGAAAAGTGATATTTGCCATTGTAAGTTATTAAAGAAATATTTTATTTGGATGGGTCATATTTAATTCCATTATAGCTGAGTTCATGGTAAGGTATATATCATATGAAATTCTTAACATAATGGGACCTAAAGATGTGTTTGCACAGTGAAATAATCATGTGATTACATCTTGGGTTTTATTCCTATTTTTAATCTAACCAGCACAGGTAATGGTAGCAATGAAGACACAGTGTCACCCACGACCAGAATGTTAACAAATGTTTCTAGCAGGCTGTTAGCAGCTGTGCAGAGTTATTTACTGCTATCTTTAAACTTGCAGGAATACATTTATATTCTTGCTGCAAGCATATCTTCAGGATGAGTATAACCTTACCAATACTGAAGTCTGGTTCAATACTGGTGCTTTTTGTAGATTTGGTCAGCAGCCTTATGAAAGCAAATCCTCTGCTTCCATCCTGCTAAAGTTGAACAACTTTAAGGTTTCTTTTAAGGTCAGGCAAGCTTGTTCCTTGTGAAACTCAAAAAAGCCTGAGTGTGTAAGCCTTCTATTTATCAGAATTCTGATCTGTTCTGTTTAATTTTTCTTCTGTTCATGATACCTTGAGCAATATATTTATTTTACTCCTTTCACCCTACCATGGTGCAAAACAATGTTAGATGCAAGCTCACCATTTTGATTTTACATGATTTGTAGTATTTTGTTTTACTGTCACAAAGCTGTTAGTGGGAACTTGTGGACAGGGATGAAGGAGGTTATGTTTCTGAAGAAGCTCCTGTCTTTTAGCTTTCAGGCTGTTCTGGAAACAGATTCTTCTTTTCTTTTTAGGAAACTGTCAAGTGAAAATAACTGATATCTTCTACCTATGGTAGTAATACCAGTTAACACAGTGGCTATGCTAGCTATGACAACTTCAGCTGTTTGGAATAAGTTGGTGGAGTGGAGAGAGACAGGGTGGATAGCAAGGAGGAAGCTCAAAATTGCTTATGATCAGTTGTAAGGTGTTGTGGTTTGTATATGCTTAGTTTTCTAACAAAGCTGCATAATATTTTAGCAAGTATTAATGTTATATTAAGGCTTTACTTAAAAATCTTTGTAGTTATGTTGGCCATACCTTTTCTAAATATAATCAACTCTGGAAGGTAGAATTGCCACTCCAAAGAGAAACGGTGGAAAAAAAATATTCAAATGCAGTATGACACACAGTTTCACCTATTGTGTCAGCAAGCCAATAATTACATACAGCTTTTTTTTAAATCTAGCCTTAGGTGTGTCACTGTTTTAGTTAAAGAAGAGTCATACTTCTAGCCACAAGCAAATTGTTGCTACCCTTAAAAAATGCAGAACTCAGCATCTTGAAACAAAGTACATAATATCCATTGTGAGCTGAATTACACAGCAAAAACATCTGCCTATATAAGAATACAAACTGTTAGATTCTTATAGAAAAATAATAAATCATTTACCTGAAAGGAAAATACTACCTCCTTAAAAAATGTAATGAGTGATTGCGGTCCTGAACTATGTGCTTTGTCTTGGTGCTAGAAATTGCAAATGGTTTATCCTTCAGTCTCTTAACACTGCTGTTTAACCGGCTGGAGGAAGACAGATAACGCTGACCTTGGAGCATTAGTAGGTAGTTGCTACACTCAGACTTGAAGGGCAAGGCGGCCGTCATGGTAGAGTAAGCACACTGGTGGTAACTACTTCTTGAGTTGCACAGTGCACTGCTTTGTGTCTTCCTACTCCGTGGCATGTCCCTTGGCACATGTTGGTGTCTCTTGTCAGGAAACTCACTTGGGTACCAAAGTACGGAAGTAGTATGCTACTTAAACTGGGTCCTGCCTCACAACCCATTCGCACTGTGGCACAAGAGTTACAGATAAAAACAGACGGGTAATTTGGTGCTGGGTTTGGGGTTTTTTCCCCTTTTCTTGCCTGCAAAGTTGTATCATTGTGTAATGGAAAGACATTGTTTCCTGTGTTTTCTGTAGGCAAGGAACATAAATATTTCACTTTCGACTACTGAAAAATCACCTTAAACTGCATTTTTTTTTAGTAAAATTTATGACAATGTTTTAAAAGAAGTATCTGTCTCCATATTCAGTGATAGCTGTTTCTTCTCTGCTTTCTTATCGATGTCCTGTTATTAAGTGATGAAATTGTTAGAACATTGAAGTTACAAACTTAGATTGCTGTAGATCATAGATCAGCCCTTTTCCTTCTGACCTTACCACTCTTCTTTTAAGAGGAAGAAAAAATAAGAAAAAAAAGAAAAGATAGAGAACACTTACTAGAAGTACTTGCCCAAGAGTATTTCTAATAGTACTTGCTTGTATTTTTACATGTCAGGTTTTTTTCCCCCATCCATATTTCAACAAGATACACTTACTCACATTTGCTTATTTATTTTTTTAAAATCCAGTTAAACTGGTTTCTAAAACTTTGCCTGATCTATTCAAACTACAGGACCACAAAAAGAAAATTCTTGGCAAAATAGATGAAACTTCCCTTTTATTGCAGCGTAACATTACTACCTTTTGAAATACTTGCATGTACTGAAGTTGCTATTCAACCATATCTTTATGAAACCACTACTTGACTGAGATTTTTTTCTCTCCCAGTCCCTACATGCACACTCTCTTTTTAAGCTTACCTATGAGGAAAGTTAGATATAATTTAATAACTTAGAAATACAGGTAATTTGATTCCTGCCCCCTTGGGTGTGGAAGTTACTGTCTGTAAAGTGGCAGGTGCACAGTAAGAAGCTGAGCTGTTTTATTTAAAACGTAAACAAAAAATAAAAAGGAAAACGTACTTCTACTCTATTATACAATTAAACTGATTAAATTGTTGCTGGCTATCTTAATTATTTGGAACTGTTGCATAGTTAGAATGTAGTTTCATTTATCTGTCATTCAATGATGTAGGTAATCGATATATGAATCGTTATTTAGAAAGATCTAATTGCTATCTCCCGTTCAGCAGAATACTAATACAAATAGTGTGTACGGTGTAGGAGTGCAGGCAGCTTTGTCTTCCCTGCGGTGGTGCGTTGTTTTTGAAGAGGGGGGAAAAAAAAAAAGGCGGGTGTGGCTATGGATGAATGATGTAGCTGGCTCCAGGGCAAGATTGTCCTGCAGAATTGGAGAAATCTGAAGCATTGCTTTGAGCTACATCTTGTACCATGATGAAATACTGAGAATAGCTTTCTTCTTTTATGTATTTGGATGTTGCCTTCAGAAGAGAGTTGTGTACCTACTGTGTCTTGCACTTGCGTAAAGTTATTTCCTGCAGGGACATCATACGCCTTTTTTTCTCTTTCTTCTTAATAGCAGCATTTGTGTCTCCTGTTCTAAGCATTTTTCTTTCTACATGTGTATTTACTATACTTCCATAATTTTACCCCAGAATGTTGGGACTGCAGTAACACACTGAAGAGTGTGGGCCGTCGGGTGGCTAGCAGTAAGTATAAGAGCTTGGTGTGAGCTGGGTTAGAGGAATTGTGAAGGCATGCGGTGTAGACGTGGGCATGGTCACTGCATTTCTCCTTTTCTTCAGACCCTCCTTGCCTAGGGAAACAGGAGGAATTAAATGTGAGGCTGTAGTGTGAAGGGCTTTTTCCCCTAGCAGCGCTGGCTGAAGCAGGCACTCGCTTGCTCCGGTGCCTGTGTTGCTCCTGCAGTTGTGTAGCACAGCCGCATGTGACAAAGTGAATGAGGGAGTTTTTATTTAAAAAGCTAGCCAAAGAAAAATCAGTTGAGCCTAGATTTGTTTTCATCACCCTGCTCACTGTGTAGGCACTCCAGTCGAGGTTCTGGCAGGAGCGAAGAGGTGCCCTTGAAAAGGGCTCTTTGCAGCAGCAGCTCTCAACAGATTCGGGTCTGACTCTGGTCTCGCCTCCTTTTTTTAACTTGTTTGGATTGTACAAAACTGCTTTGCTTGTGATGATTATTATGCCTTCCCTTCCCTAATGTATAGTAGGGAGGAGAGTTTTCTGTCCTGTTGCAAGTTAGACTTTTCCCTTTTTTGGGCTCAGGAAGGAAATTTTGAGTTTGTGCCAAATTGGCAAGAGGTTTGAGAGTTTATTTTTTTTCTTCCCGCAGCTTCAGGGTGGTATGCTTGAATTAATGATAGCAAATTCTCAGAGGTTAGCAGTAGGATAAGCTTCTTGCTGCTTGTGACTAGTACAGACTAGAAGTGCCTGGTACAGGTGACAAAGGGAATTCAGGTTTATTGTCTGCTACATCTGGTGCTTATATGGAGAGGGTAACCTGATATTTCTGATATTTCTGTGTTCTGATGTCTCTCACCTGGCTGGCTTCTGTTCTCTGATTCTTTCTGCCTTGTTGGGGGAAGGAAATAAGATGGGTGTTGGGCTGCGGAAGTGAGCCGCTGACAAACTTTGAGTCCTTCTAACTTTCCCTGAAGCCAGTTACATGAGAACTTGGGGGAGAGGGGAAGGCGTAGGTAAGAAAGGGAGAATTATTAGTTGACTGATAGAATTGCAACTTGCTTCTTAAAGCACATTTGCGTTTATTGTACACTTAACTGTTTGTCGTGCATACGGGCTAAATATACCTCAAGGAACTACAAAAGGTGTTTCATAGAGACTGGAAGATGCAAAGCCATTCTTCGCTCTACCTGTTGGTAGTCAGGTGTGGTACATTTCAGGCAAGCCAAGACATGATTCTTTAACTAGCTTAAAAAAATAGCCCACTTTGTTTGACATAAACAGTTTCTTTATGTTAGGAAATCCTGGTGGAGTATCACATAAACTCCCACGACACAGCAGACAGGTGAAGACACCTTAGACATGTTTCATCTTAGGCACATTGCTTTCCTTGCTACTCCCTGTGTTACGGCAGACTCTGCCTGCATTTTCAAATAGGAATTAACTTGAAAAAATTATTGGTGTAGTTTGATAAGTTCAAAATACTTCTATTAAAAGGATTAACATAAAATAGTGACTACAGTATGATTTATGAATATAATGGGGCTACTAGGGCAATGAAAAAATTCCTGGGTTTTTTTGTTTTGTTTTTCTTAAATGTGGTATTCAGTTGCAGCACTGAATAACTCAGGTGGCATCACATAGACAGTATGTTGTTTTGCTTGTTTTACTTATGCGGGCTTGTCTTAAGGTAATAGAAGAACAAGAAAAAATTGAAAAGTACAATTTGATTATAAGCTGAAATATTGGCCAGAAACTCTTGTGGTGTGTAATAACCTGAAACTGTTTTCCATTGTATTTAATAAACCACATTCTAGGTGTAAATATGAAATTCAAAGAGCAGTATTTATTCTCCAGTGACGGTCTTTTAATATTTCCAGTTTGAAAAGACCGCATAATCTTTCAAATCAATATTTAAACATTTAATATGTGTTTTGGGCCACTGTTGGAGACAAGACAATGACTTGGAAGGATTTTGGTCTGACCCAGCACAGGTCTTCTGAAATTCTCTGTAACACTTAACATCCAGGGTACCTTTGGCATGGTAAGGGCAGCCCTCTGGATTCTGAGCTTCCTGGCTTGATGACGGTTTTTTTGTTTGTTTTCTCAGAAGAGAACAATGTCAAAATATTGCATAACTGACAAAACAATGTTTTATCTTACAGTCCATGTAATCGGAAAGGTCAGGCAGAAATTGGCTTCTTTTTGCTTTCCAGGATGATTTTTAACCAATTTCTTAGTTTTGAATGTTCTCGTTTAGAATTAGAAGATTTATGATAGCTATTCATATCATTAAAACTATATACTTCTGAAATTTCCTTTTAAAATTGTTTTAAAGTTTCTCTGCATGCCAGAGAAACAAATTAGCAAATGTGGTATTCGGCCCAGCACTTTTCCAACAGTTATGTATGCTGCTTCTCAATGGAATGCTTCCTAAACATTTGCTGTTCCAATCACTATCGTTTGGATGACCTCCTTTTGTCTTAATAATCACCTCATGTCTTTGTGGCAGAGAGAGGAGTTGCTTATGCAAGTGGCAATAAGAAAGCATTAACTGCCTTTAGAAGGATTTATTGGGGTTTATTTTCATTTCATTCTTGCTTTCTGTCTCTTGTTTTCCTTAATGGCGATAAACTGAAATTACAGAGGCAACATTGATTGTGCATTTCAGCGAATTTTAACAACACAGTATTCTTTGCTGTAGGAAACTGATAGCCACTACCCAGGGAAGTTTGATATTATCAGTGTAATTAATATCTTTATGCTAAAGCAAAGCTATCTTGGATTTACTTTTCAGCCAGTATTTATTTCCTGGTTTGCCTGGAGTCAATAAATAATGTAATGAAGAGTTTCAGAGTTTGAAAGGAATAATTTTCTGCTTAAATGATTCTCCTGAAGTGATGTTTATTTGTCACTGAAGTTAATTGAATGCTGGAGGTGGATTTCTAAAGCTGTAGACTTCGTGTCCTGGGATATATTCTCTCTTCTGTTGTGTAGCATGTCTTTCAAAAGCCGTTCTTTTGAGGTAGAAGAATTAAACTGTGCAGAGTTACCAGACTTCATGCACAAAGAAATAGTTTTGTATAATCATGCCTCTGTATCTTTTTTCTTTAAAAAAAAAACAAAACAACTGCTTTGTAATTTATCTTGCAGGTCACTTTTTACCAGGATTTGCATATTGTTTTCTGATTTTTATAACTTAGAGGATATGATTGTTCTTGTAGAGATAGCTGCAAGTTTCCATTGCTTAACTTTTAGTTTTGCTTAAGCTTACATAAGACTTGCGGTGCATTTGGCTATTGAGAAATTGTATTTCCAAGTTTTAATTTAAAATTGCACTGTATGAGTCTCACATTAGAGATGATAGCTATGTCCAAGTTTCAAACTCTTTCTATATTTAAAATAGAAAACCTTTCTGTGCAGTTAAAGGTATTTGCATACTCCTTAAATTGCTTTGATACAGTAGGATGGCAGTTGTCTGTTTATGCTATGGAAAGTCCACAGCAAACTAGAGATTCAAGGAAGTACATGGTTATTTCGACTCACATTTTAGTTTAGGCTTGTATGTATAAATAATAAGCTCCTTAGAGGAACTGTTGCGTGTTCTGCTTACAAGTCTAAATATTGAAATGATGGTGTTACACATTTCTTCTCATATTTTTGGTACTAATACTCAATATTTTATTTCCTCAGCGCATTGGTTATTGCTGCAGTATTTGATCGTGATGTTAATTGCAGAAGAGCCGCTTCTGTAAGTTATCACATTCTAGCTTAACTGTTTCTGTTACTTTTTGTTTGTTTCATTTAATTTAATAATTTGTAGACTTAGCTACGTAGAACTACAGTATATTAGCAATATATTCTGTTGTGAGCAAAAAAGTGCTTTTTTAAATCCTTAGAAGTATGGTGTGAATTTAGCTCTTAAATCATATAATCCACAGATCCACATCTTGATTTATGGTCACAGCTCACAATCTGCTGCATTGTTGTCATGATGGTTAAGATAAAGTATCTAAGAAAGTTGTTTAGCATTTTCTAGTCAGAATACCAAAGACAAAAGGGTCATACAGCATATACAAACACTGTATGTTTTTCCAGTCACCAAGCTGGTAGGTTTTGTGAAGTTACACTTTTCTAATTGTCCATCAACTGTTGCTCTGTAATTGTGGTAAGTTGGAAATTCTAGAATAACATCTCCCCTTTAAACATATGTTCAGTTATTGTACAAAATTCTTTCCCATTTTTAAAATAAATTGATAAATCTGTTAGGCAAATATTGTTACCTAGTTAATAGGACAGACACCAAAGTATATTTGTGGAACCTTTCTGTAGAAAATGTTTATGCTGTTGAGAATTGAAAAGAATGTGTGATTGTTCTTAAGAGAAGGGAATTTATGGAGGAGAGGTTATAGAAAGAATAGACACCTTATCTTTGAGAATTTAAGTCAGTGTGTTGTATATATTGAACTTGCTTTAAAAAAAAAAAAGTATGAGTTGTCTGTTTCAACAGATAAACCAAACTATCTTATGCAAAAGTAAAAACACCCCTACCCTATAACTGTATTAACTCAAACACAGGACCAAACAAAGTCTGTCAGAGAACCAGGTGTCTCTGTTCCCAAGGATAAACTTCACTGTGAATGCATTAAAAAAAAAAAAAAAGCAGTCTTTGCAACTTGCAAATTAATTAACAGGTCTGTCTTATTTTTTGACTGAAATTTTGAAAGCTAATGCATTTATAACATAAGAAGAATTTCTCAGGGATACCTGGATAGCATCCTTATTTTTTCTAGCCACACCTCTGCTTGAGAGTTTAAGCTGTTGAATGAAGCTGCAGCATAATTGCTGGGGAAGTGAGTCAGTTGCTTGTGTAATCATATCGCAAATCACTTTGTCTAAATAGGTTAAAACCAAAGCATGGAAGCTAAGATGCTGTACGTCACCAAATATAACATATTCTTTGCATACTTTACAACTAACAAATATGAGCAATGCTACTTTCCCCCAAACTTCAACTCCTAAATTTTAGAAACTGGAATTTGGTATTCTGGTCTAATTTAAGTCACTTTATTCAAACAAAATCCTTAGAGGAAAACAAAGGTAGCTTTGTTTTCCTGAGAATTGCACAAAACATTAAGCAGTGTAGACAGTGAAAAGTGAATTATTTATTTACTCTACAGGAATTTTCCTAAGAACCAGTGGTTATATATATATAAAGAGGAGAATTCTTTTTAACATGATTGCCACTATGAGTATACTGCTTACCTTTAGTGGCTTGATCTAATTGTCATGTGTAATCTTCAGTATGTTTCTACGCTGAAATATAAACCTGTAGTTTGACCATGAAATACAGTGCTGAACCAGATACATCTGCTAATGCTATAAGCTTTGTGCAGATGGTGCTTCTGTATATCAAATGAGTACAAAATACAGTAGATTTTCTTCTCCCTTTCCACTTCTACTTTAAACCAAGCTATCAAGCGTTCCGCAATTCAGTTATCTCCAGTCAAATCAAGTTTTTTATTAGTACATTCTAATTAAGAGCTGGTCAAAATTTGGAATTGCTGTTTTGATGGACAGTTATGAAAGTAGTGAAATGTTTTTTCTTATTTTAGAAAGGCAGACGAAATAGTTTGTGTTTACTAGGCATTGCTATGATTTTGAAGAAAAATACCTGGGAGTCCTATTTCCAATCATTACTACAGTTAAATACATATTTAAATAAACAACATGTTTTACTAGATTTTCCATCTATTACAATATGCAATATATTATGATGCAGGGCACCAATAAAACAAAATAGCATATAGAGATATTTTGAACCCTGAGGTTAGAGAGAATAAAACAAGACTGTTATTTCGAAGCTCCAAAAGCATTCTGAGCTGACTTGTGCAACTCTTTCATGAATAATCATCATAAAGAATAATCACATGAATTAAGTGATCTCGGATTGGGCTTCGTTCGGCTCTGACATGTTAAAGGGAGGGTTGGGTTTTTTCTCTCTTGGTTGGTTGATAGTTTTTAAAATCGTGACTTTAATATTTTTTTCAGTTTCTGTGGGAACAGCAAAGTATTCAGGCTACAAGGGTAGTTGGTCATTTTGGTTCTGATATCATGGAATCTTTAAATTAACATCTTTGCATCCAATTTTTCCATCACCAGAATGGGATTGTATGAAAAATGAAAATTATTACAAAGTGGTTGAAATATTTGGCATCTTTTAGGAATTTGCTATTGTTTGAAAGTATGATTGAAATAGTAACATTTTCAGGTATTGACAGTCTCCTTAGTATTATGAACAAAACTCTGATTTGAAACAATAAAAAAAGTGCTAAAGGAACAAGAAGGGAATTCTGTGAACATTAAATGAGCTCTAGAAAATTGCTTTTTCACCTGGATGAACAATATGTTTCATTATTTTCATCCTTCTATTTTACTTTCTCTCACAAAGCTTTAACACAGCAATACTGTGGGGATGGTTTTCCTTGTAACTTTTTCTGTGAATGTAATCCTTCACACTCAGGAAAAGTAATTTACCATATCACATTTTTGTTGCTAAAATTTGGATTAGATGCTATTTTCCTAGCACAGTAATGTGTTTAAGCTGACACAGTTGGAATGTGTGTTGTCCACCAAGCCTTCCTAATTCAGTGGTGACATTTTCCAAACATAACTTTATAAACACTCTAGCGTTCTGTTTTTGCATTCCTTTGAGGCTTTTTCTGGTTTCGTTCGAATATCTTGATTTTAATTTTAAATTTCCCCACAATTGGCTGAAAACTTACTTGCAGAAGAGGCACCTTTTAGCTTTTTTATTAAAACACACAACAAGAATGCTGAAGCTGAGAGAGGTTGATGGTGACGCATATGAACCTCCCTCAACCTAAACAACCAGCTGTGAAACAAATTACAGATTTAGTCTCCAACTGGAAAAATTGCTAGCTACTGAGCTGCTTATATAGGGATTTCCTAGTTACCATATTTCTCTTCATATTTTTGTGAATTGTAAATTCATAACACAAGTGTGAGAATCTAAACCAAATTGATTATTTTTCTCCAAGGCTATTCAATTGAAATAATCGACAACTATATTTACAGTAAGGCAATACTAATCTCTATCCTTGTAGGCAGTGGTTAGTTGTATGGGTTTTTATAGATAAACTAATCAATTAAGTGTAAATTAACATGTAAATTAGAAGCTTCAAATACATCAGATGAATGCTAAGTACTTTTGCCATGCTGCTGGACTATTTCTTAGATCTTCATGATGGTTTTTCTAAGTTAGAAAATGGAATAATGACACTTCCACAGCGGTGAAATTTTAAAATTCCCACATTGAGTGAACAGACCGTGGGAAATCTTTATGTACAATAGCTGTTTTGCTGCAACATTTTCCATAGGCCCTTCTACATCTTTTTCCAACGATTTTGCCACAGTGTATTTCAGTCTGGGCCTGCAGATATATTGTAAGTAGAATAAAACTTCCACTAGTTTGAGACCAGGCTTACGTTGTTTGGATATCGAAGTTTCTGATTTAAAAAAGAAAAAAAAACCAACCAAAAACTTTACAGATTTGTATCAGTAAGACACTTGTCTGAGCAGTACATCGTTAAAAGAAACTAGCGCAGTGATTAAATTATTAAATCCCTTGGATATGATAGTTGAGAGCATCATCCTTGCTGAAACCTCCCTATGCCGAATAAAAGGGCCTCAATAGCATCAAAGGGGATCAAAAGCTAACATGGATGTAAAAAGAAATGAATGATGCAGGCTGACATGAAACGATGTCCTGGCAAATCGTGGCTGGGGGGGTGTGTTGGCAGAGAGGTCAGGAGTGGCAAACCCCCATGTCAGAGGCTGGGTTACAGCACACAGTAATGAACAAGCGTAGGGCATTGCTACAGCTCCTGTTCCTGTTCTGAAAGGCGGCTTTATGCGTTGCCCAAGGGCGTATCTACGCTGCTGCCACTGCGGAGGATAGCCCATGCAGTTCTGCCTGAGGCAATCCTGAACTGGTTAGCTTGGGGCCACCGCCGGCAGCGTGGCTGCAACTGCAAGCAGGCGAAGGTGGGCTCCAAAACCCGCCGAGGCGGTGGGAAAGCGCTTTAGAGTCAGCCTGTGCTACGTGTCCTGCAATGGATATACTGCGGGCAGGAGCTGAACTAGCCTGGGCAAGTCTAGAGGAACTGCAGTCATTCTCCTGAACAGACATAACCTCAGACGTGCACCAGGAGACTCCGGCTTCATTAGGGCTTGCTTCACCTGCGTTCTGGGAGAGCTTGCTCCTTATGCAGAGTACGATACCTCAGCGAGCTAACTTAACCTCTTGTTTTTACAGGTGGATTACCACATGCATACTGTATTTCTGTAAAAAATACAGAAGCTCTGTCTGTCACAATTTTTGAGGCATTTTCAGTAAAGATTGGGACTTCCCTCTCTATGTTAAATATCAGTTGTCAGGTGACAATTGCTGCCCATTGCAGGAGATCTGTCTTTGTAGAGTGACTTTTCCTAAGAAAAGTGTCCAGATAATGATGATCTCTCCTCTCTGAAAAGAGTTAAAATTTACAGAAGTTTTTATTAGTACTTAAGATTGTATACCCTGTTAAGGAACAAAAAATTGGGGGTTTTTGAGAGAGGGAGAAAATTCAAGTAAGGAGCAGGTAGTTAAGTAAGTTTTATTCTGTATACCAAACAACTAGAGAGATTAACTTTATGGTTGTATTCATTGCATATTGCAAGATTTTGAGTTTATGTAATGAAAAACACAAGAAACATACATGAATTTTGTCTTCAGGTTTTATCATTCCAGTGTTTCAGCATGCTTTCAGATGTGTATCTTTCAAATAAGTATTGCATTCTCAATATGTTTTGTCTGAAGTTTTCATTGACAAAGAATCAAACTTTGCTTACTATTAGCAAATCATGTTGAAGTTGTTAGATAAAAGTGAGCTGTCTCAATGTCTGTTGTCTACAGGTATTGACTTTCAATTCCAGTGCGAAGCCTTGTGTCACTACTCAAAAGCACTCTTGTGGGTGTGACTAGTTTAATAAACTTGCATTCTTAAACTGCTGTCATGCAACATACAGCTTTAGGAACACCAGAACATAGAGACGCAGAAACAAAAAAGCCCTGTGGGCTTGTTCTACTGACAAAGCTTACTTTATTTAAAAAAGAAAAGCCATGGGTCATTTATATTGTTGTGTGTTTTGAATTCATCATCTGGTATTTATCAAAAAGCAAACCTGACTCGTTTGGGTATGTTTGTTCTCTGTTCCTTAGGCTGCCTTCCAGGAGAATGTTGGGAGACAGGTATGGTAACTTTCATGAATCTTCATTCATTAGTGCCTTGGAGGTTACTGTAAACGTGTAGTGCCTAAAATCAAAATTAGACGCTGTGGCTTTGGAAAAATTGAGTAGAGGATGTCACAAAATAATTATTTTCTTTATCAGCAAACAAGCTCTTGTGAAATATTTTTCTGAGATGCGAGTTTTATTTTTGTACTCTTGTTTTGGAAGAAGCTGAGCTTTCTGGTGATTTTCAGTCATTCTGACAAGCAAAATCAGCTTGTATCATGGCCATTATACACCTTGCAAACTCTAGTGCTCTAAAGCAGGAAACGTGCAATTTTTTGGTTATTTTTTTATTTCATCGACTTTCTAGTTTTTAACATAACAGCTGAAGTGTGCTGCGCAATCTTTGCTGTGGTTGGTGATGCAACAATGAACTAGGCTTAAGAGTCTTCAACTCAGTATTTGGGTTTGCTTGTTGTACCACAATGCTACCATCTAGAGATTTTGAGAAATCTGTTACTTTTGGAGATACCCAAGTGCTTTGTAAAATTACTGCAGTAGGTTCCTAAATAATGTAGCAACATTTAAGTAGTTAAAATGCTCAGCCAAATTTGATTTGCAACCTTGGAGAAGAAGCAAATAGGGTAAGAGCTTGGATTTCAAAGTTTCCTGGTTTCACATCTTATATGAGAATATACAACTTAGAAGGAAAAAAAAAAGGTGGGGGGGTTCAGTTAGTGAATTCTTGTGGCAGAGTGGGGCATGTGAACATGGTGAAAGCAAATTTTGTTATCAATAAGCCATTCTTTAAGGAATCCTTGTTAAAATGCTGTCTAGCTTTCCCCAATATCGTTCCTGAAGATCTGTGTTATGAGCCAGGATATTATTCCTTTAGAATTATGGGTATTAAGCAATGTGTCCATAACTGGTGTGTGTATTTCTAGATAGAATTAGGTTAAGAGCAGAGAAAGAATGCAAGAAGACTAGGAGGAAGAGGGTAGGTATTTTTGGTGACCTGACCCAACTAGGTCTGTGATAAGTAGAAGCCAGCGTGATTCTTCCCTGGGTCTGTGGTTACTGTCCTGGAGAGGTTAGTCATCACACAGCACCTCAGCCTGATTCCACTTCGTGAGGTGCTGAATGAAGTCAACACCTTACTGTGACTTCACTTCCAGGTGAGATAAGGCTCCCGAGTGCTACAGGTTTACAATTGCTTCCATGTAGCAAAAATTATGTGGAGTTTTTTTGTTTCTTAATCAGAGGAGTACAGTCTACATTAGTTTACAACCAGAAAGATTCCTTACTGACTGTGCTTTGACCCATGATTCAAATTTGTCAGTGTTGGTAGAACACACAATTTTTATCTTATATGTCGGCATGTTAAGGAGGAGTTTGCAGTGAAATAGTAAGTTCATGGCATGAAGAACACTACCAGGTTCCCCTTGGTTCCTGTAGAAGTTCAGTTGTTATACTTCCAGAACCATTCCTTGCTGCCTAGGAAAATGGTTACTTAATCAGTGGATACACCTTCTGTAGTTCTTTCCCTGGATGTAATGTGCTGAAGAGACACT